TCAACGACTTCACAACCAACAACAGTTGAGTATGTTCCAATTTGACAAGCGACAGCGATCCTGTGCAAAAATGTAATATATGCCTTTAGAGTTCAGTTTTAGAGGGAGCTTAGGGAAGTTGCAGAATTCCTCTCTCTCTCTCTCTCTCTCTCTCTCTCTCTCTCTCGCACGCGTGCATTATCCAGAAAAGTTAATTATTCTCCCTTTCTCTCTCTCTCGATGGAGATATCACACCAGTTATGTGTATTAGAAGAGATATCGAGTACTGGGACCGAAATCTCATTTGTTTCCGTCATTAACAATTTTTGTATCGGCCGCTGAATGTCACTGCGTTATGCAATGCAGAAAATCAAATGTTTGAACCCCTCGTATTTACTATATATGTAATGAATTCTCATTTCGATCTTTGTTCATGATAAAATGTGATTATATGCATATTGTTTTTTTTTTTCAAAAACAGTTAAACATAATATCCCATGTACGTGTAAGACATCCCTTTAAATGATCCGAAGGCCTCGTTTCAGCTCCAACAAAATCCTAACGGGGCATAATTAAGCTTCTTTGCAAGAATGCAAGCGTCTTGAATATATTGTCTGCGACCTTGCTAAGGTAACAGATGAATAGTGGCCTTAGACTTCCTATTACCTTGCTAACCTACCGCATTCATCAAAAACTCTAATCGTTTCATCTCGCAAAGATCAAAGACCAAACCTATTCAATTTCCTATCTAATGAAAAAATGATTAACACCTCCAAAACAAATTGGTCGGCCATTTTGTCTGTAGGGCTTGTTATCTTCGTTAATCTTAATTGGGAGTTATTCTGGCCTGCTGAGGTGAGCGCTAGTCATCATATGTAGGTGTGTGTTCTTATATGCATGCAAATGTGGAGGTAGAAGGGAAACCGTGGTTTTTCAATTTCATGTACATGGTGCACTTTAACTTTGGATCTGAGTCCGTTTGAGGCGGTCTACTTGTATTACATAGCGCATGCGCAATTCATTTCTCTCAGGTTACTTCAAAAATGAATATATGTAGGTCAAAGTGAAACCTATTATCTTGAATCACGTCTCTTAACCCGATCCACGGGCTCGTATTTTTATATTACAAAGAAAGTTACAAAAAATTTGATCATCAATCATTCACAAATAGATAGTAATATTCCACAATAGGAGGTCATCTTTGACTAACCCTCAAACTCTATGTGTAAAAAGTTGCATATCCAATTGTTTTGTAAAGATTTCCCATTCATACCTAAAAGGAAAAAAAAGAACCAACAGTTTTGCTGTCTGTTGGAACTAGCATTTTACCATTGTGTTAGCAAAAAAAAAAAAAAAAAAAAAAAAAAAAAAAAAAA